TACCAAAATCACCGATAACTCAAATGGACGCTTCTACTTCGTCTATCGGACCACTGTTGCCGTACGGTTGCGAATTCTAGGTTGTGAGCGTGACAGACGAGCGAAAAATAGCGATATTTGACCATCGTTGTTTCATGACCATTCTTCTAGTGAGATTTACTGACTTCGTCTTAAACGAGCCCGTCCACACTAGCTGTAGCAACATAGCGAGGTAGGTAAAGTACATTGCCCTGGTTCACTTTACGAAGTCAGCGTTGCTGCTCTCGACCCAGAGCCATTTACTATTTGGAAGCGTTGAATAAGTCGACTCAACACCTAGTTTGACAATTCATTAATAAGGTGAAGTTTTTCCACGGTATTATGTTTTCACCACTGTAGAAGAAAATGGACAGAGCTATTCCGATAGGATGTCCCGGATAGACACGCACGGGATGTACGACTGTACATCTAGCCGTCTTCTATGATGTTATGAATTAATCCGTGACATCATAAAAGTAGTCTAGATCAGACACGAGCACAGCTGAGCCAAACAGCTAAATAAACGAAGGTCCCAAATTTTCGTCTAAGGGGTTCAGTGCCTCCATTACTTTGAAGATAACATTAAAACCTCGGCCGGATTTCAAATGAGCAATACGAGTTAGCACAGACAACAATGAACATACTGGGCAAAACACTATAATCTGAAACTTTAAAAAGACTTAAAAATATCTCAGTACCTGGATAGAAAAGAAGCCTGTTTCATCATTGTTTAGACAGGAAGGCTCCGAAGATGTTTGTCCGAGAGCAGCATGCTCCCATGCGTCTAGCTCGTGAGCAATAGCCGCCAAATCTGTTACTTCAAAATATGGTCCTTGTAATAAATTATTCAAGCAATGTTGAGCGCAACATAGGCCTTCTTGCTACGACAGTAAATCCTAAGCAAAATAACCGAACCTTCTCGTGGTAAATTTTATCCATCACCTTGACGATATGACAAGTACAAAGATTCGGCGAATTAAGTTGTAGAGGTTCGCACTGCACCTTATCGGATCAACTACGAGTTCACCGCGCTCCTGTCTACAAACAAGGCAACGAAATGGGCGGAAGGAAAATACCTAAAAGGTAATAACAGAAGTAACTCATGCACCAATATTCCCTATGGCCAAGCCACACACCAACGTCTCAGGTTGTTTGTCCAATTAGGGTTGCTCATAATCAAAGAAAGAGCTGGCAGAGGTCACAATATTTTTTTCGCAAAAACCATATCAAGCCGCATTAATTAGGTTGTGCTCTGTTAGCGGACGCTTCATCTTGCCTTTGATCAAGATGTCCAAGATCTTTGAGGCTGTTGAAACTGTATTTATTGGCCTAAATTATTCGAATGACGAGGATCGGCCGTACGTTGGTG